GAGCCAGTTTTTCTATTTTGAATAGAGATGGGATCTTGCTCTTGCTCAGGCTGGTCTCAAACCCCTGACCTCAGGTGATCCACCTGCCTCTGCCTCTGAGAGTGCTAGGATTACAGATGTGAGCCACTGTGTTAGGCTCAATAGATCTGTTGATGAAGCTTCATTCAGAAACACAAAATAGGCCCAGCACCAGAGACATTCAATGATGGAGGACGGAGGAAGAGCCCTGGGACAGGGTAGAGACAGTTGAGTCTGACTATACAGAATGGAATGCCAGTCCTCTCTTAAACAACTCAAGAGCACTGAATAATCATAAAAAAATTATTGGGCGGCACCTGTGGCTCAAGGAGTAGGGCGTCGGCCCCATATGGCAGAGGTAGTGGGTTCAAACCTAGCCCCAGCCAAACCCCCCCCCAAAAAATATATATATATATAATTTATTACATTAGTGAATCCACACTGAGCCCTTGCTCTGTGTCAGTGCTGGAATGAACATTGAGCATTTTGTAGCATTGTTTTCATTGTAATATGTTGTTATTATAGTTTGCATGCATGGATATGTATAGACCTCATTTTATTGCACTTCATTTTATTGTTCTCTGCAGATATTGCTTTCTTTTCTTTTCTAGACCGAGTCTCACTTTGTTACCCCCAGTAGAGCTCTGCGGCATCATAACTCACAGAAACTTCAAACTCTTGGACTCAATTCTCTTGCCTCAGCCTGGTGCTGATAGCTCAAACAGCTAAGGCGCCAGCTATATACACCAGAGCTCGAGGGTTCTAATCCAGCCAGGGCCTGCCAAACAACAGTGACAACTACAACCAAAAAATATGCCCAGGAGTTTGAGGTTGCTGCGAGCTGTGATGCTATAGCACTCTACCCAGGGCAACATAGTGAGGCTCTGTCTCAAAAAAAAAAAAATTATCTTGCCTCAGCCTCCCCAGTAGCTGGGGCCTGCCACAACACCCGGCTCTTTTTAATTTTTTTGAGACAGAATCTCATTATGTTGCCCATGTATGCCATGGTGTCACAGCTCACAGCAACCTTGGGCTTAAGCAATTCTCTTGCCTCAGCCTCCCAAGTAGCTGAGACTATAGGCCCCTGCCACAATGCTCAGTTATTTTTTTGTTGTTAATATCATTGTTGCTTAGCAGGCCTGGGTCAGGTTCAAACCTGCTAGCCCCTTTGTATGTGGCCAGTGCCCTAACCACTGAGCTATGGGCACTGAGCCCCGGCTATTTTTAGAGACGGGAGTCTTGCTCTTTCTCAGGCTGGTCTTGAACTCCTGAGCTCAAGTAATCCATCTGCCTCAGGTGTCCCAGAATGCTAGGATTACAGGCATGAGCCACTGTACCCAGCCCTGCATTTTTTCTAAATTGAAGTTTGTGGCGTGGCGCCTGTGGCTCAAGTGGCTAAGGCGCCAGCCACAT